TGTAACTGCAGTATCTCTAAGAACAGCTGTGGTTTTTGCTCTGTTGAAAGAGAACACACAGTTTCTAAAGAGCTGCGTTGAACTTAGGTAAATGATTGTACTTTCTGAGCCTCCACCTCTCATTCATAGAATGGCCTAATAACTAGATCATTGTGTTGTTCTAGGGTTGAAATGAGGCGAGGTAGTGAAAGGCTTCCAGCACAGGGCCTGGCCCATGGGAGGCACTTGACCTCTGATCACCTGGCTGTCCTTCTGATGGAACGCTCCTCTGCCTGCTCTGCTTGGCATAGTTTCCTCCTGTTGATGAGGGAGGGCAGGCACTGACCAGACAGGCTGGTTTCCCACATCCTTTGTTTCAAATGGTCTTGTGGAGATGCACTTACATCCTCTGTAAAACACCCTTCAACACTAAGGTTTATTAAACTACTTAATGTTTAAGCTTCTCCCTCTTAGAGATGATACCAACTCTCTGAACATCACAAAATGAAAAATTTGTGTAGATTGACTCACCAGAGAACAATTGTGTCTTCAGTGCCAGAAATTATGAGCTTGTGTGGAGAAATGTATTATAATTAGCAAAGGTAAAAACATACAACACAAAAAGCAGGATCTGTCTTCCTGATTCTTTGTTTCTTTTTAAAGATTTTTGTTATTTGGTGCCAGTTTTGTATTTCTCGCAATCAATAGGATACAAAGATTTTCCACTTGGTTTAAAAGTCAACTGGGGATGAAGGAAAAGTTATGATATTGCACCTAAGCTAGTTCAATGATTAACCTTTCTTTGCAAAGGGAGAGTTTTGAACTCATCTGGGTTGCTGGAGAGAAGAATCACTGATTCCTTTCAGTGTCACCAGGCAGGCAGATAGCCTTGCTCATGGGCTGCACCTGGTGTCACCGCCTATGTCAGCTCCTTTTATTGTGGTGCTTTGCCTATTTACTCTCATTCACAACAGCCAGTGAGCATCACGAGTGTCAGAAACAGGGTGAAAAGCTACTACTTTCCTCTTCTTCCTAGTCTTTCCTACTCACAGACAGATCAACACATAAATATTAACAATCAGCTGCTACAAATAAGGAAAACCTGCTACAAGCCTTTGAAAATGAAGGGCATATGCTTTTCCCGCCGGTCACTCTGCCTACCTTCCTTCCCATCAGTAATAAAGGTAGGGGTATGTGTGTGTGTGTGTGTGTCCAACTCTGGAGAGCAAATGAACAAGTTTGCTACCCAGGACAGATAGACTCTGAATATCTGCACATCCCACTGGCTTGGGAGTTTTCTACTCATATTTCTGTTGTTGGTAGTGTTAGCAAGATACGAATACATGTGTCCTCTCATAATCCCCCTATTTAAAAATGTTTAATGCCCTAAGTCTTTGAATGCTCCTGTCTCAGTTTTAGTTCTTAGTCAAGCTGAAAGCTAGAATTGTGCTTAAAGGGAGGGTGGGCATGGAGGGGGCTGGGGGACAGACACTCACTTGGAGTGCATGCAGGTCATTAAACTTGTTCCATGCTAGAATAAACGGTTATACAACAACCTCCCCTCCCCACAGTGTGTCAAATGCTTGTTTTCTTTGAGAAGAGAGTAGGATGTCCTATGGCTAGAGTCAGAAAACATGTCTTTGACAGCCTTCCTGGTGTTTTGTTTTTTGTTTTTTTTCCCTCCCAGTTGAACTTGAATCTGAGCCTTAATGATTTAGAGTCCTAGAAATTCAGAGCTGGATAGAAGACTGCTCATGGGAGATTGCATCTTGATCCCCAAGCTGCCGGGAAGAAGTGGCAGAAAAATTGTGAAATCATAGTAATTCAGTATGGGTTGGTAGAGTTTAATTCTTCCTCAAGTAGTTATGGGCAAAACAGGAGTGCAAAAACCAAGGCTCCCCATAGCCCAGACATGCCCTTGGGCCAGAGGGAATGGCCTCAGAAGTCCTTTGCCAAAGGACATTTTGTTAGTTCAATAACTGTGTAAGTATCAGTAAGAAAGTGACGGGCTTAAGGTTTAGCATGCAATTGGAGCCTCATTGTGTAACTTAGGAAAGTAAGGGCACACAGTGATGTTTAAAAAATATTTAAAAACCCAATAGCGTGTGTCCAGGAAGACTGGCTGCTGCTGGGTGACCACAGGATCTAGGCTCTTGCAAAAATGCCTTGGAATTACTCCTCTCTTTAGAGAGGCAGAGGCTTCAACATTTTGGAGGGGTCACAGTGGGGGTCCTGGCTTCCACCATGTGGGAGAGAATACATTTTACCTACCCTTCAAAGAATGAGTCAGAGCCTGTGGTGCCAATGCTGGCCAAATTTGAGTTCCTGAGACAGAGAGATCAGGTGGAGGCTGAGGATCTCACCTCAAACCATTTGCCAGAGGTCTTGACAGTGGAGGGTTTCCACGGCTCTTTCGCTTCTCCATGCCCTGGATGTGCCCGGACCTGCTGCAGGCAGTATTAGTTGCTTGAGCCAATGACTCATATGTCTTAAAATCTCCAAGTCACTTTTTATAGGAACACATAAAAATTCCTGCTCAACGTCTGCCCTATGGTCATCGACTTTTTTGTTGGTTTGTTTGTTTCCCTGAGAGATGCCATTTCGACAACAGCCAAGGCTGCCTCTCCTCTGATTCAGATCTTGGAGACTTTCATCCATAGCCACACAAAGCCCCAGGGCAGTGTTTTTTTTCATGTGTGTGTGTGTGTGTGTGTGTGTGTGTGTATGTGTGCTTCCAGCATTTAGTGTAATTAGGTGGATAAACTTGCTAAGCCATCTGATTTGAATAAAGTCCATTATTCCTCCTGTTAGAGCTCAGGATGGGGCCAATACCAATGGGAGCCAACTCTCCAGCCTCCCTCTCCCAGGGATACCTCAAGGAAGAATGTAAATGAATAGAAGGAACAGAGGAAAGTGGATGAGGATAGAATTTTAAGAAGTTGTTGTACTTGCTAGGATGGTGGCCAAATAGGGCCACTTTGGAACATCATGTAAACCACTTCATAACCTCCCATCGTACTATCTAGAGCAGGGCTGGGCAATGCAGTTTCTTCTCACATGTTTTTACTTTAAGCAGAATACTTAATAGATATTGGCACTGCTCTGATGTTTGAGTGCCACTCATTATGCAGAAATGTTTCAGTGTACACCCCCTTCACATTTGCATTTACTTTCTTTTTCTGCATGTTTGTACCTAGGATGAACATGGTTTAATATTCCATTAAAATTTTTTTAAACCACTGTAACTTTGTTTAATTTGGTTGCTGAAATCTTGTGTTTGTAACTGAGATCACTTTTAAGAAGGGACATTCTTATTAGAGGTAATTTGGAAAAGCTGCAGGTTGTTCACTGTTTGGTACTATTGTAATTATCTTGACCTTACAGTTTAGGGTCCTACTTGTTTCAGTTACCATGCATTCTAAGTATTGTCTATCTTGTTACATAATCATGTGGTTTTCATGGTTGCAACCTGGTCCATTACATGGAAATGTCACAGCTTGCTTATCTGTTCTTTCGTACTGATCACTTTCAGTTTTTCGATATTTATCAATAACTTTGAGCAGAAAATCTTCTAGATTTCCCTTATATTTTATATTATTTCCTTAAGATGGACTTTCCAAGGTCTCTTACAAAGATGATGAATGTATCAGGCCAGGGCTTCTCCAGGTGCAGTGTGTGCACAGATGACTGATGGATGTTGTGAAATGCAGATTCTAACTCAGTAGGTGTGGGCTGAACCTGAGAATCTTCATTTGTCACAAATGCCTGCATGATGCCCAGGCTGTGGCTCAGGGCTTTGGGCAGGCTCCTAAAGTTGCTGGTGTATTGACATTGAGAGTACTTATAAGACTTGTTTTGCCAAGTCACTGTGTGGGCTGGTTACCTAGGAGCTCTGCCCCCTCAGAAATATTTTCTAATCAAGAAGAAAGTTTTGATTAGACTGATCTCCAGAGGGGTGGGAAACTGTAGCATCTGCCTTCAATAAAAGCCTCTAAGCTCAGTTGTGACTGCCATTAAAATCACCTGAGGAGTACACACACACACACTCTTTCTCTCTCTCTCTCTCTCTCTCTCTCTCTCTCTCTCTCTCTCTCTCTCTCTCTCTCTCTCTCTCTCTCTCTCTCTCTCGGCTCCCTCCAGACCACTACAAACAGAATGGCAGGCAATGGAACCTGGCTATCAGTATTTTTTAAAGCTTCCTGGGTATTAGAGGTGACTCTGTATAGCCAGGGTTGAGGACCATTGTTCTAAACCCACAGAAGACCCACCTTAAATCTCACCGAGCTCCCAACTGTGTTTTATATCTGATTGGATGAAAAGCTCGGGGCTTATATATGCCACACTCAGACTGCCACACTTTTGACAATGGATTTAGCACAGCCATGAGTTGTCTGCATTTCTAAAAAAACAATAACTGTAATTTCTGACGGCAGACAAGATATTTGCCATCACTGACTTCTCCATCAAACTTACTTCTCTGTAGCATTTGTTAATCCCATCTTAATGAACGACACCATTGTACACTCAGTCTCCCAAGCAAAAAACCTGGGGCTGATGTAAGCCCCTTTACTTTCCCATTCCCTGCAAATCTAAGCAGTTCTCACAGTCCTTTGTTCTGTATGTACTTGTTTCCTATAGAGTGTAACACATTATATTAAAATTATCCTGCAACTAGACCATGAGCCTCTTGACCCCAGAAATAGTATCTGATGCATCTTTTTATCCCCCACACCTAGTGCAGGGCCTGTCTAGCACAGGGTGGATTCTCCTGAAATAATTGCTGAATGAATGAATGAAATAAAATAGGTTTTGATTGCATGTAACCCTGGAAGATTGTGCTTATGGTTGAAAGTTTCATAGCAGCGTGGTTCTAGCAGGAACACAGATTGCTTAGATAGTGCCTGGTGCCAACATGGCCTTGCCCTGGGGGTGTGCAAGACAGCAGATGGAATGCCCAGCACGTCCTGAGTCTCTGCCACTCGCCACCTGCTAGAGTAACACCTGCTGTTTCTGTTTGGCAGTTGCCTTTTCTGGCCTTGGCTTCACGACGTTCTACTTGGCGGGCAAGCTGCACTGCTTCACCGAGAGTGGGCGGGGAAAGAGCTGGCGGCTCTGTGCTGCCATCCTGCCCTTGTACTGCGCCATGATGATTGCCCTGTCCCGCATGTGCGACTACAAGCATCACTGGCAAGGTGAGTCCCTGCCCAGGGCCTGACTAGTCCTCACTGCGGTTGCCACTCTCCTCCAGGGTTGGGTGTAGAAATGTACCCATTGTGGGGGGCTGAGTGCCCATTGTCAGAAACCAGAGGAGGCTGAAATGACTGAGTGGATACAATTTTGAAGCAAATATTCTGGTTCAAGTGAGGTCTGGCCTTTCTGGGGAAAGAATTGGAGCTCTTCTTCCTCCTTCGTGCTCCAGGAGACTGCTTGAGTCCCACCAGAATATCAGGCCCTTTGGTTTAGAGTCACCCTTGGCCTGAGACCCAAATGTGATTTTCCTGCTGGATCACTTGCCTCAGTCCTCAGACTTCATGCCAAGGGGTTTTTGGCTTCCTTTGCTTATCAAATTCAGCCTACAAGGACATATTTGTCACCATGGATGCTCTTCTGAAAGGTATATCCAGCCAGGAATTCATTCTAATAATGCTCCAAGCAGCAGCTACAAGCCTGGGGTGAGGTTTGCCTGTATATATATATACATATATCAGTCCTGGGATCATTGTTAAAAATCAGAATAACACAAACATGGGCGGGGCTTGTTCCTAAAATAGAACTAAACCATGCCATGTCTTCTGCAGAGAAGCTGCAGCTCACAGTCTTTCTGAAAGATAACCACCACCTGCCAGAGCAAACAGAGAGCCCAGATGGAGGTGATGTCCACAGGAGGTGTGGCCTCTGGGACCATGGGGTCTAGGGAAGGGTTTCCCAAGGGCAGTCCAAAGATCACCTTGATCGGGCTGCCCTGATCTAGGAACTGGGCTCTTTAGAGGTGCATCTGGAGCAGTAGCTTAGAATCCTCATGGTTAATAAGGAAGTCTATCATTGCTGATGAAGTTTAAGAAGCACTGGTAAGGAGCTCCACTATACAGTGTCCATTTTAACCAAACAAAGCAAAGAGAATGTGCTTGAATCCAGCTTCTTTGGGTGAATCGGCTTCCGCAATAGGTCTGTGACCCAAACCTCCTCTCCCTTTCCTGTTTCCCGGCTGTTGCTGGGCATTGTTCCCCTCTCCCTTTCCCTAGCTCTGCAGCCCGCTGCCTTGCAGGACTAACCTCTTAACACCTTTTCCAGGGTTGTGTTGCAGTGGTAATGAGGCAATGGATGAGGGCAGAGTTGAGGGAAACTCCTAGCTGAGAGCCCCTCCTTCTTGCTCTTCTCTGGAGACCTGTGCTCCTTCCAGCATTGCCCAGTTTCTGTTCCTTCCTGGTCTCAACCATATCCCATCCCCTCCTGGGAGCTCATGATCTAAGTGTCCCATAACCCCTGCAGCAGCTTTGGGCTGAAGGGTGAAGGGTATAGGGAAAGAGATGCTGACACGGTTTGGACAGGTGGATGCAGCAAGCATCAAATACTAGTGAGATCTGGGGCCCTCTTGATGGGGTGATCAGAAGAGGGTCACAGGGCTGGGGTCTGGGCCTGCCCTTGTTCTATTTTTATCAATGACTTGGATGAAATTCTGGATGATAAGAAGCCATATCATGAGACAGAAGGATGGAGAGAGTCATTGAGCCAAAGAAAAACAAAGGCACAGTTCACCCCCCTTGGAACTGGGAATGTTTTCCCACAGAATTGTTTCCTACCTATGTGGTTGGGCGTTTCCCCATGAAGAATACTACGGGGAATGGTCTTTAGTAGACTGCTTCTCACTGATCTCTTGTGAGCCAGTTTCTTTTTTGAGCACAGGAACAATGAATCCCTAAATATTTCACAGAGCTTTTCATAGATTGAATGAAATAATGGACCCAAATGTTCTTTGTAAATGGAAATGTACTACACACATGCAGAATGGTATCATTGCCGCTTAGGGCATTGTTTCTAAGGAAGGATGCATTGTGTTTCCCAAACAACCGACTTGGAGACAGACGGTTTTTTTGGAACATGATTTATTTGTAAGCTATGAATGCCAGCTTTTCACATTTATTCAACCACTTTGGATTTGGGGAATGACTGGGGGTTTCAGAATTGAATCAATTTTTCCTTTATCTTGGAGTCAGTAAGAGCCTTTGCATAGTGATTCTGTACTGACAACCTAGATGTGAGGCTGGCCTGTCTTCAGCACTCTCTGGCCCTACCTGTTTTGTTCCTCATTTTCTAGCTGTGGTGGTGTCACGTGGTGAAGTGAAGGAATGTGGAGTCACAGCTCTTGTCTTTTGGGAATGGTTAATTCATGCTGCTGCTGGTGTACCCAAGGCCTGCCGGCAACTGGGACTTTGAAACCGTTAGTATCCAACAGGCACAGAAAGGACCTTTGGGCAGTAGAGGCAGAATATTCATCCTCTGTGGGCCATTGGGAAAGCCAAGAAAGAGAATTTCTGTTCAGGATGGTTAGAACCATATTTGGGAATCAAATCAAAACCGCGTCGTGGTAGACTTCCGTAGCCCAAGCTGAACGCGCATCTGTTGGTACGGGTTATTGGTATGGGCCAGGGACAAGTTCAGCTCTGCCATTACATGTTCAACTGACACCCTTGGAGTCAGCCAGGAGAGGAACACAGCTTCCTTGGATGTCTAAAAGGCTCTGAGTTGGACTCATTTTACCTGAGTCCCCCTTCACTAGGCTGTCTGCCACTGTCCTCACCAGTTGTTTTCAACTGGGTGATGGAGAGGCTCACTGTACCTCTCAGGGGACATGGAGCAATGTCTGTAGACATCTTTTTGTTGTCACAACTCTGAGGTGTAGGTGCTACTGCCATCGTGTGGGTGGAGGGTTAGAGACTAGGGATGCTGCTCAATGTCCTACAACTGCAAGACCCCCCACCCCCCACCCCCCAACAAGGAGTTATCCAGCCCCAAATGTGAATACGGCCCAGGCTGAGAATCCCTGTTCTACGTCATACCCCAGCTCCATGTTTCTTTCCCCTGCTCCATGTTAAGAAGCAGCAGTGCTCTGGGAGAGGGAAGTTTTGTTCATTCAACACTCAGTTATTAAGGGAGAAATCAAGGAGGCCTCAAAGGTTTTCCGTTGGGAGGAGGGATGCAGAGTGAGGTCTTCAACTGCAGTGTAGGTGGATGTTGGAGGCAGGATGCCTGATTAAGATAAATAACTTGTTTTCCTTTGGTGAACTGAGCTGCCCAGTGACCGTGGGCGGGGGCCATCCATCATGGTGAAAATTCACATGGAGCCCCATTGGCATCAGCAAAACTCAAGTCCGCCTCATTATAGACTTTAGTTAACAGCATTCACGTTATGAGATTTTATGACTCCATTTCAGTTTTGATTTAAGCAACTGTGCCTAATGTGGAAATACATCCAATTACTCGATTACACAGCCATATCCAATAAATAGTCCATAATCTCCAATGACTCTCTGTCCATTATCATGGTTATCTTCTGTTGTTGACACCCCCTGGTCTTTTCTGTCTCCCCAGCCAACTTCAAATATAAAAATCTATTGTTTTATTAAATGAGGAAAATACAGAGGCACAGGCCATGGCATAGGGAAGGATGCATGAGACATTTAGCAGAACTTCTCCAGACACTAAACCAGCTGGATTAATGCTGAATCTCTATGTGGGTGATGTGTCCTGTGTCCTTGTGACATTCTGGCTGTTAGGTCAACTGGAAGCCGGAGAGTTTCATAGATGATGCTAACTGCAAAGCTCAGTGCCCTCTCAAACAGGCTCACCTTTGTGATTAAGTGTGTTTCACAGTGCTCAAACTCGTAGAATCCCCATGCTAGGGAAAATAACTGCAGAGAAAGAGTGCAGCATGTCCTTAAACCGACTTCTGCCTCTCTCACCCTTTCGTGTGATTACGATTTCTTGTCAATGGAGGGTTACAGCTACTAGTGGCAGGATGTGTTGTTTGCTCCATCACTGGGCTTAATAATGAGCTCCCCTGACCACCTCAAGTCCCTGCATCTGAAACCAAGCTCTCTCCATGTGACTAGGTTTGGAGATAACATTTGAAATACTTGTTTCTCTAATCATAGGTCATTCTAAGCAGCCCTGGGTGCCTGTGTGGTATTTCATTATAAGAGGGAGCATCCTCCTCCAGAGGTAATCTAAGGGAACGGGCCTCAAAGAATGAAACAGTCATTTGTTCCCACCCAGTCTAAGGTTGGAAAGCATCTCGGTCAGTCACAGATGCAGTTGTCTCACTGGGCTGAAGTTCTCAAGATGGCCGTCATTGCCTTTGCCTGCTTCCCCGACTGGGCGGTGAAGGGTCTGTGATTTGAAATGAACTTAATGTAGTTACCAAACTTCAGGAGATTATTGATCCTCCAAATGCAGGTGGTTTGGTGGTTGGATATGTGCTGGACTGTTTTGTGTGCCACAAAATGCTTCTGGCCTCAAAAAGTCAGGGAGAAGCTATTCCCTTTGGAGAAACCTTTGTTTCAAAGCCTCATGGCATCCTGCAACTCACAGGACTCTCTTGAGCTCTCCTTCCTTTTGGTACTGATAAACTCAGTAGCCCCACAGGATGGGATCTTTCCCTGTTCAGTGTCACAGAGCCATTACATGAAATCAAACATGAGCATCAAGCAGAGTAAACTTTATTCCATGGCCAAAGAATGGAGGAGTGGAAACACAGCTCTCAGATGAACTTTTCAGTTAGTGAGGGGTGAAGGGATTAAAATATTAGGGTTTCTCTAATGAAGAGGTCAGGAAGTAAAATCTAGAGGAGGGATAGTTGGTTCTTTTTCTGTAAATGGACCGTGAACTTCTGGGAACCAGAGCGCTGCCTTCCTTTTATGGCTTCTTCCAGTTGTTGTCATGGCAATTGTCAACTGTCATGGTGCTGATGAGAGTGTCGTTTGGCATGGAAATGAGATTCCAGTGAAGCCTGACGTCTTCTTGAAGTTCTTCAGTCAGCTATCTTGGTTTTAGCCAGTTTCAGCCAGTCCAGGTACAAAGGGAACTATTTTCCACAGGTGTCCCATTTCTTAAAGATAAACAGAATTAGAGAGGGGTAGAAATTCAGCTATGTACTTACTCCCCTTCCCCTTCCCTCCCCTCTGTGTCTGTCTATTCAGCTATGTACACTCTCCCCTTCCCTCCCCTCTGTCTGTCTTCATCTCTCCATCTGCTTCTCTCTCTCTCTCTCTCTCTCTCTCTCTCTCTCTCTCTCTCTCTCTCACACACACACACACACACACACACAGACACACACACACACAGCTGAGGGACATACACTGTTAACTAGGCCTGCCTTGTGCTGTCAGAAGCAATCTGTAGGTTTTCTAAATGAAACAACTTGAAAAAGATCCCTTGGAACAATATGATAGTTTCTGCCAAAAACCTGCCAGCCCCGGGTGGAACAAAAATACTTAGATTCTTCCTCAAATATCCTCAGTCCTGAGTGAATTGATCTCACCTCATTTCCCTCCACAGCCGGCTGCTCTGTGTGGCAGGGCCCACAGTCACATTCACCATCGGCTGCCAACCCCCACCTCTGTCTGGGAACCTCTGAGTCTTGACTGCCCTTCTAAGTCCACCCACCTCTGTGTTGGTGCCCAGGAGAGCATGAGAAGCCTCAGTCCCCGGCTCACCCCTCCCTCTGGTCAAAGTCCACTGCAGAGTGTGCTTTCAGCCTAAAGCGAGCCATCCTCAGTCCTCTTCCTGCCTCCAGGATAGCCCTGGTGTCTCCCCATTATGGAATTCCCAGGGAAGATGGACGTCGATGGCTCCCAAGTCTCACTGGCCTCCTTCCTTTGTTTTACTCAAGGGAACCCGTCTCTTCTCAGCTTTCTTTGGCTTTCTGTGCTCAGCATGTATGTATATATATAGACTCCAGGTTTTCCTTCCCACTCTGGTCTGGTGATCACCACTTGTTGCCCGAATCATCGCAGAAGCCTCTTAGCCTGACTCCCTCCTTCCTTCTTTGCCCCTCAACTGCAGTTGGAGTGTGCCTTTAGAGCTCGAGTTAGCACATGTCACTCCTGCAGAAATGGTGCAGTGACTCTCATTTCACTCCACATCACAGACCGTGTCCTGCCAAGGCCCACAGGATCTGCTCCCTCCGCACCTCTCTGATGCTGTGGTTACGCTACCTGTCCTCCTTGTTCACAGTATTGCATCGCTTGAGCTTCTGGCTGCTCCTTGAACAGGCCCATCCCCTCCCACCTCAGAGCCTTTGCACAGGCTCCACTTTGTGCCTGGAATGCTCTTGTTGAGATGTGGGCATGGCTTGTTCCCCTTCTCCCTCTTAAACTGGGCTCCAGTGTCACCTTCTCAGTCCTGTGATGCCCCTTCCTCACATACCATGCCCCTCATGCCTTGTACATTTACCACCTTCTGACAAATGAAATAATTTAGTATGTATTGACTATTGTCTGTCCCTAACCGCTAGAACGGGGTGGGCAAACTTCGTAAAGGATCAGATAGTCAATATCTTAGGCTGTATGTGGCCGTGCGATCTCTGTTGCAACTACTCAGTTTGGCTGTAGTGCCCAGAAGTGACCATAGAAGATATATAAAGGAATGGGTTCACTTCGTTTACTGGCCCCTGCACTAGAATATGATCTCCATGTGAGCAGGGATTTGGGTCTCTCTTGGTGGCATGGCACATAGTGGGAACTTATATCAGGGTCCTGAGGCTGCCAGAGCAAAGTATCAAAAACTGGGTGGTTTAGAACAACAGAAAGATACTGTCCCACCATTCTGGAGGCTGGAAGTCTTTGGCAAAGCCACCCTCTCTCTGAAATCAGTAAGGGGAGGATCCTTCCCTGCCTTTTCCAGCTTCTAGTAGCCCCGGATGTGCTTCCGCCGATGGCAGAGTAATTCCAGTCTCTACCTCTCTCCTCCCCTGGTGTTTTCTCTGTGTGTCCTCACATCCGCTTCCCTCTTTGGGTTTCTGTCTCTGTGTCCAAATTTTGCCTTTTTGTAAGGACACTAGTCCTTATATTGGATTAGGGCCCACCCTGATTATCTGATTTTAACTTGATTACTCCCTATTTCCAAATAAGGTCATGTTTTCAGGTCCTAGGGACTAGGACTTCTACATATCTTTCAAAAGGACACGATTAATTTATAACAGTGTTCAGTAAATACATGCTGAATAAATCAATGATTTCCACTAAATCGTATTCCTTTCTTACTAGTATCATTTTTTCTTTGTACTGGTTTTACTATAATTAACTTATTCTCTACAAGTTCTTTCCTTTTAAAAATAAACGGTTATACTATAGACCAACCAACCTTCCTTCCTTCCCTCCTTCCCTCCCTCCTTCCTTCCTTCTCTCCTTATCTACAAGTTCTTTCCTTTTAAAAATAAACAAAAGGTTACACTATAAACCTTCCTCCCTCCCTCCCTTCCTTCCTTCCCTCCCTCCCTCCCTCCTTCCCTCCTTCTCTACAACTTCTTTCCTTTTAAAAATAAACAAAAGGTTACAGTATAAACCAACCTACCTATCTTCCTCCCTCCCTTCCTTCCTTCCTTCCTCCTTCCTTCCCTCCCTCCCTCCCTCCCTCCCTCCCTCCCTCCCTCCCTCCCTCCCTCCCTCCTTCCTTCCTTCCTTCCTTCCTTCCTTCCTTCCTTCCTTCCTTCCTTCCTTCCTTCCTTCCTTCCCTCCCTTCATTCCTTCCCTCCCTTCCTTCCTTTCCTCTTTCCCTCCCTGCCTCCCTCCTGTCTCTTGTGCCTGTATACCAGGCATGTTCTCCACGGGGCTCAGTACTGAGTGGGATGGACACAGCTGCTGTCCTCTCAGCTTACACTGTACCAGGTCTATTGTACATCCTTCTTGCTAGGTAAGGTCTTTTATAGAAACTCAAAATCACAGAAACATGAAGCTTTACAAGTAGTAGAATTACTGGAAATTATAAAAAGAACAACAACAGAAAAACCACAGGCAGTCGTTGAGTTTGCCAGAGCTGATTTTTGCCCTAGTACTTTGGGTCATGGAGCGCAAGGCATGCAAGGTCCCAAGTCAAGCCAGCTTAATGATGTTGGAGGCTGTGATGGTGACAGGAAGGATGGTCTTCCGTAGGACGTGGCAGCACGTCTTCAGAGGCCTTTCTGCTTCTGTGTGCCACAATAGATGAAGACAGCCTGGCACCTCAGTATGGCAGAACTCAAAAGGTCCTTTCCTGTCTTTTGACCTCATGATGAGGGGGCAGGGTTTTGTGAATTTTATAGGTAAGGATTCGAATCCAGGTTGCTTGATTCAGAGTCACTCTTTCCACTTCCATTGGAGCTTGTCTGCTCACCTAGTGTCAGTTCTGTCCTTCCTTTTTAAAGAATAGCTTTCTTTATAATTCTCAACTATAAAATTCTCCCTTTTAAGATATAGAAACATTATTATATATCCGGAGTGGTACAACCATTACCACTATCTAATTCTAGAACATTTTCATCACCCCAAAGAAACCCTTATCTCTCAGCAACCACTTCTCATTCCTCCATGGCCCAGGCCCTGGCAGCCACTGATCTACTTTTTATCTCTATAGGTTTGCCTGTTCTGCACATTGAATATAAATAGAACGGTACAATATGTGGCCCTTTGTGGCTGGTGATGTTGATTCTTTAGTGCCTCTTGTAGATGTTGTTTGATGTCAGCTCCTTATTTGCTGAATAAAAGTCCACTGAGCTCTGGGAAATAAGTAGGAATGAAACATCCCAGAGTCCTAGACAACAACATGTAGTCAGGGAGATAGACTCAGAAATAGGAAACCCCACTGGTGGTAGGTGTAAGGCCACAGAGTGCATAGATGGCAGCCCAGAGAAAGAGCAGGGCCCCTGGTCCATGCCAAGGGCTCCACAGAACCACAAAGGGACATGGAAAACATTCTGCTTCACCCTATGACAGATGACGGGTCAATTTGTGTCCTGTAGTCTTACAAAGCTGCTACCTCTCTCTTAAAAGACAGGTCTACCTTCAGTTTCTCATATTTACCAAGCCTCCCTTGTCATCAGCACCTTCACTCATACCCTTCTCTCTACCTGGAAAACCACAAGTGCCTTCCTTTCCTCTACTCCTCAGCTTCCCCCTGTTGACTCTTGCTCATCCTTCAGGTCTTAGCCTGATGGTCATGTCCTCAGCAAAACCCCTGCTCCAGAATAGCCCAGGTCTCTGTGCTGGGGAAGCTCACAGACCTTCACCCATTTCCTTCATGGTGATTATCATTACTGATAAGGCTGTCATGGTTTAGTGTCTGTCTTGCCCCATAGTTGGAAACTCTGGGATAGCAGGGACTTGTCCCATTTGTTCAGCCTGTGCCCTAGGCTTGGCTGTCACGTCTGACACCTGATACATATGCAATGCATGTGTATGAATGAAGGACATCAGTTCTAAGTAAGGAGACAGAAGTATTTTGGATTTCAAAGACACAGAGATCCATTTATTTCCCTTTTGAGACTTCCAGTTGATTCGGGGCCAAGTTAATCCCAAGTGCTTTTCCCCCAAGAAGGGCTTTCTTGTCCCCTGCTTGCCTGTCTATCAAGAGGATACAAATGTGATTTTATTAAAATAGCAATAGCCCACTTGAGGCGATTGATGACAGGGTCCTTCAAGTGCTATTACAAAGGTGGATCTGGTTCACCACCTTTGTAATAAACACAGCCCAAAAATGACGTTGCTGAGAAGCAGCTTAGGGAGACTGTTCATTGCCCTTGTTACTTCTGCTAACTCCCATAGCACCTGTGATATCACTTTTCACTCATTCCATTAAAGGGGAAAACAGAATTGGCAGGAATTGTCATTTCCATGCATGCTGCTATGTCAGTAAGTCTGGGAAACATTCCTGGAATGGTCTGATGTCTTTTGGTCAATGATCCACCTAATGAGATGCTGTGCTACAGAAAATAGAATGTTGAATGGTGTTATTTGTGGGTTTTGCTCTTTTGTCTGTTTAGTCAATGGCTCAAATGCAGATGTTGTGGATCATTTTAGATGCTAATAAAATTACCCCAGCGGGCTGTTTCCTGCGGTTAGAGGAAAAACTAAACAATCTTGCAACTCTAAGACCTTGAACTAGAAAAAGGCCTCGCACATTTTATAGGCTAGTGCCTGTAGGCTGGTGAAGAGATTCTTCATTTAAGCAGTTTTATATTATCATGTTAATTACACCCTGTGGCCCTGCTCCAGAATATTTCTTGGGTGACAAATGTGTTTTAAGAGGTTTATTTGCAATGCTATGAAAATGTAGCCATGCCAAAGAGGTGAGAACTGTAAAGCGCTAAGTCGTGTGTGAGGAGAAGGATGGCAGAGGATGAAAAAGCCTCCAGCAGTTCTGGAGTAGAATGTGAGAGGAATGGCATAGGATAACAAGGATGGATACTGTTTTTATGTCCTATTTGGCATACTCCATGAAATGATCATTTTATTAAATTATCATCACATTATTAAATTATCATAAAATGATCATATTATTAAATTATCATCACAGTTCAATGAGGTGGATATTGAGAGCTACATTTGAGAGATAAGGAAACTCAGAGAGGAAAAGCAACTTGCCCTGATAGGGACGACTGCAACGTCTTAGCCTTAGGATTTCTCAGCATGGCAGATTCTTGGGTTGGGGTGAGGGTAAGTGGTGGTTACTTTACCACAGCCCCAGGAGCCTCCAAATGGCCAACAGTTCTTCTCTTGGGGAATGGGTCTGCTGCCTCATCCTCCTCTTCTTCGTTCTTGGGAACGCCTCCTGCTTTCCCTGTTGTCTTCCAATCCTATCCTACCCTGATGGCTGCTCACCAAGTCTGAGCAGACACGAACTTGTATTCCTTGCCTTTCTTGCCTTTCTGCTAGACAGCTACTGTGCAGACACACTGTGTTCATCAGTTGTTTAAGCCTAAACTCCTGTGGGGAGAAAGCAGGGACAATTATTTGGTCTCTCCCTTTGACCAGTTAGAATGACTTTTGTTTCTAAGTGATATTTTATCTCAACCAAGAAAAGAATATGACCTGTTTTCTTTTCTTTCTTTCTTTCTTTTTTTTTTTTGAGACAGAGTCTTTCTCTGTCACCCAGACTGGAGTGCAGTGGTGTAACCTTGGCTCACTGTAATGTCTACCTCCTGAGTTAAAGCAAATCATCTGCCTCGGTCTCTGGAGTAGCTGAGATTAAGGCACATGCTGCCATGACCAGCTATTTCTCTTTCTTTCTTTATTTTTATTTTTTAGTAGAGATGGGGTTTCCTCAGGTTTCCCAGGCTGGTCTCAAACTCCTGAGTTCAGACAATCCACCCTCCTCAGTTTCCCAAGGTGCTAGGGGATATGACCTATTTTCTAAATGCACCTTGATAGAGTCTTCAAATAATCTTGATGTGTGGCCTCAGTAGGCTGACTCAGGATCAAATTCCAGGAACACTTATATAACAAGGCATCTTAGCCACCTTGCACTTGCGGTTCCAAGCTCATATGTTACTGATGAGGTCATCAAGAGGACCAGAATGGAAAAGGGGCACACCCCAAAACACTCAGGACCACAACCCAATCTAACCCTGAGTTACTATGTATCCATTTCCCTCAACAAACATAATTATGCTGTGAACAAGGAATTGGCCAAGTTGTTGAAGGAATCAACAGCCAACCCACATAGAGTTTTGAGTCCAGCATTAAACATTAAACAATTGCACAGTGTGTCATTGTTCTCAACTCTGATTGCATGGGGAGTGGGGAGAGGTTATTAACTTGTGTAACTGGGAGACTTGGTCTAGTCCGGAGGTCAGATGAGGTTATTGAGTTGAGCTCTGAAATATGAAAAGAGATTGATTAAGGGAAGGTGTGAGGAGAAAGGAATTCCCAGAAATCCAGGATTAGAACAGCACATGTTGACCTCCAGGAAGGGAAGAAGCACATGTATTTGAGGAACAAAAGGGAAGCCCATGGCTTTGGAAGGCTGGGTGAAGGGGAAATGGCTGGGATGGTTGGCAGGGCCAGGATTGCAGCCTTGAATGACATAGGGGCTTGGCAGTTCTCGTACAGCAGTAGGAAGGAGTCAGCCAAGCAGGAGAATGGCTGTACCTATTTGCTCCTGAGAGAATATCACCAACTGCTGTGT